TAGTAGTGCGCTGTAGATGTTTCGTAGCCCAAAAACACCGCATTTTTACCTTGCAACAGAACGATTCAACTTTGCGTAATCGTTCAGTAAGCTTTCGTTAATTTGCAATTGGTGGTTTTTTAAAGACTTGTCCAATATTAGATACTTATGATCAATTGGATCTAACACTTTACCATTCTCAATATGCACCTGTAATAATTGAAATTGAATAATTAAATAAACTAATAAAGAGAACGTTCCCAGGGGCTAAACAAAATGCTTTCAGTTGGAGAAGGGATATAAACTAAACGCAAACTTTAGAAATCAACAGATCTCAATATTCTAGTTTTGGTTGTTTCGTTTTAGAATAGTTATGTTTTTCTTTCAAATGCACAACTAGGTAAATATCTATACAAGCGTAATACAACATACATCATTGGAAATAATCCAGTAGTTATTCCCTTGGTATCCCATGAAACGCGTTTCATGGAAAACCCTTTTGTTCTCCTGTTGGGAGAAGTCTTCTTTCAGGTAGCAGGCGTACGAATGGACGACAGCTGACGTCACGTGCGGCCCCAATAAGAACGTTCCTTCTCCATAAGCAGCTCTTAATGAGTCAATGAAACGTTGCTTGGAGTCGAAACAATTGACGTTCAATACGATAAGTCTGAAAAAATCACCAGATGGCACATGCAATTGTATCGTTCGCGTAGTCTTTGAAAGCTATCTACTTCTAAACTATTCATAAGAACATGTTTATACTTAAAAATCCGGCACATTATAATTAATCCTCGGAAATAAGAAGAAATTGGCAGAAATTGGTCAAAACGTGAGCACTGGAAAACTAATTTTTATAGAGAACTGAGCGAAATTTTCTTTCGAGAAAAAGGCGATCAAAACTTTTGCGGGTATTTTAGTGATGCCAGATTTTTCCACCTCCTACTTCTGTAAGCCTGTTCCTTACGCCTTTGCTAATTGCTGTTTGTGTTTTTTTATTAATCTTAAGGTGTGAAAATAATTTCATTTAATATCAAAGCAAAAAAAGTATATTATCAAATATTACTTTTGTATCCCGATACATATTTTATGTGTATCTATATAGGTGCCATGATAATGTGCCCTAATTATCACACATGCCGCTGCATCGGAAACGCATTGTGAAATTAGTATGGACAATGACGCGGTTGTTTAGAGCCTATATTCATTGTGTAAACTGGCTATATACGATGATGTGCATATTTAAAATACATTTCGTTTAGCGTCTAGTTTATTCCAATTGAGTAACTGTTAATCGTATACATCTAATATCGTATGTATGGAAATGCACAAGTCTGCGCAAGGACACAACAGGACCATTTTCATACTAAAACAAGAAACCACCCGGTACTTTAATGAGTTGCGAAGAACTCGTATAAAAATCCCATTTACAATAAGCTTATGTTGGCCTAGGTTTACACTTTTGCCTTATTGTAGCGGCAGTTTGCGAACAAATTTACTGTTCTTATTCATTCGAATCGTTTGTGACGTTTAAACAACGCATCATTTCAGCTGCGACTTATTTTCGCTCGTATATATTGCCCTAATGTGTATATACAACTTCAGTAGTTCCATTTGTTTTTATACACGAAAAACTATATTGTGCACGCGAGCGTATTTACCATGCATAAAAAACTCCAGTGTGCGGAGAAACAATAAATGTATATCGTTTAACACTACACAAACCTGATTGTAGTTTCCTCATCTTCGGAGGCTGAACCACAACAGCAAACCCAATGCCCAGCAGAATTTTCTTCTTCTTTCAGCTTTAGCTTCCCAAATATTTTGAGCGAGAAATCCCCAAACATGGAAAATTTTTTCCCATAGTAAGTTTTGTTGCCAGCCACACAAAACATTGTTAAAACACTTTCAATCTACATACAAAACGAAGATCATATTAATATAGGGATACCAATTACCATATTCTCAATGTTATTGAAAAATAAAAATCTCGTTGCTCGCTTTACTAACCTCAGTGTCAGAAAGATTTATATACGTGCCGAAAGGTCTACAAACTTTCCCACTTGCCAAATAGTGAACTTGCTAAGAGTCGAAGGAGAAAGAGAACGCAAGCATATGATAACTGTTATATATACCCAGTGCTTCCACTTTGGAAAATCAGAAAATCCTTTTCTTCTCCTTATTTTCACTGAAAATTCCTTTAAAAAATTGTGAAATTTCCTTCACATTTCCTTCAAGCAATTAAAAGAAATTATGTCGAATATGCTCTAAAAAAGCCTTTTCCCAAAATACGATTATCGTAATGTTCAATTTTATCATTGCTCTAAAGTCTGAAAAACTCTGAGTACAATTATACTTTGTAGAGAAAACTGACAGAGCTAAAACTATAAACAGAATTGCATAATTCAAAATATGCCCGTAGCTTCAAATGTCATAGTTTTGGCCTCAATTTACCTTAAATGAATCAACAATCAAAACTTGCATTTAAAAATTTATATAAATTACGTGCTTATAAAAGCGTGAAGGAAAAAGGTAGCTACTTAGAATGTTTTAGTCTTTTAGATGTAATTGTTATAATTTATTTTACACAATTACTATGATTTATACAAAATAGGTATTAAACGAAGCATTTCAAGTAAATTAATGGCATTTATTCCATTTATTAATTATTTTTCGGTTAATAAGTGTTATGCGCAAGGTCTATTTAGTGAGATTTAGACTTATTTTACCACTTTTTTTTCAAAACGATGTAAATATTACTAATTTTGGTAAAATTTTGATATTTCATTCAAATTCGCTTCGTTTTTCTAGAATTTCCCTCAAATTTCCTTTAAAATTTATTTCCTTCAAATTTCCTTCATCTTACAAAAAAATCCTTTTAAAAGGAAATTTCCTTCAAAGTGGAAGCGCTGTATATACCATACGAAGATCACATGACGGCATAAGGTTAATCACACTTAATTAATGACACTTAATTAATGACAAACCATCTATATGGAGTGTAATATGAGACGGAAGGTGCATGGTAGCATATGATGGCAGGAAGTGCAGAAGTATATAATGAGGATATTACTGTGAAACCTTGTAATGTGTGTAAGTAAAACTTGTGAAACGTGCAAACTTCATGATTGCTTTCAAAGCAAAACTGTTGGTTTTTTATGTTACATACATATACACACATCAATCGTTTTATTTCGTTTCACTGTTTTGAGTACGTTTTGTATTTCAAAGCAATGTTTGTGAATTGTGACATCCTCTAATAATGTTACTAGGTGACGCTGTCCAAGTTGTCAGGGAAAAAATGTCAAGTTTTTCAACGGCTATAAATAGACCACTTCAAAAAGCGGCTTTTAATCGCTATATAGATGTGTGACTATTATTAGAAGTATTAACAGTCACAAAAATGACAGTTGCCCTTGACAACTTGGTCAGCTTTCCCTGGCAACATTTCAGATGACGTCACAAACATTGATCTCACTGCTGCAAAACTTAAGGGCCTAATTCCACGGGCACTTTTTCTCCGCGAAATATTTCGCCTGTTTCTTTTGAATTTCGACCACATTTTAAATTTCGCCTGTTTCTTTTGAATTTCGACCACTTCATTGCTCACAATTCAAGCAGGCGAAATAGTTATAGTAGTTAGTTAGTTAGTTAGTTAGTTAGTTAGTTATAATTAGTTATGGTTAGTGAGTTGGTCATTGTTAATCAAATTCGCATTCTGTGCCCAATTTTTTCCCATACCTGGCCTTTATAATGTCACAAAGTTTACAAAGCTTACAATGTAAAAGTTTACGAGGTTTACAGAGTGCGATTTAACGTTAACAGTTTTGTTTTCACTGAATAATCACATACACAACATGTTTTTCAGGATATTGTCTTGTATATTTAAGGTTCTGCCAGTTCCTTGAGATCAAATCAATAAAGATATCAGATATCGCGATGGGCGAATCACTGAAAAAAAAAGTGTGCGAATTTTGCGGATTTCGAAAATCGATAGGGATTTTTACAAATTTTTGTGATAATTTTTTTTAAAGTATTCTTGTGACTTTATATGGATTTTTAGATCTTTTTACGGATTTTCAGGAATTTGTAGTGATTTTTAATGGACTTTTAAGGGACTTTTTAGCCTTTAGCTTATGGAATTTTTTTATTGGGGGCGTACGACATTTTTGAGCGATACACCCCTCGATAAATCTCAATATCATCCGCATAGCCCAGCAACTCACTTTTCCTGATCGCATAAGCTAAATCGTTCATAAAAACAGTAAACAGCATAGGCCCCAAAATACTGCATTGTAGTACCCCAGCTGTCACACCCATCCAATTTGAGTATGCCTCCCTAACTTCACCCGTTGACTACGACTTGACAGATAACTTCGCAAAAGGTTTACTGCTTTATAGCCCAAGCCATAGATTTTAAGTTTTTCCAAAATAAGTTCGTGTCGAAGACAACCAAACGCTTTACTCAGATCCATAGCAACAGCCCCAATCTTATTATAACTGTGATAACATAGATAAACTTCGTCTAATTGACGAAAACCGACCAAAATCCTGAATCAAGCATATGCCGCAGCCATCTTGCTTTTGGAGGTTAGGGGCCACGCTGCTCTTGTTCAATTCTCACATTGAAAAATAAAAAAAAGAGCAAAAGAAAGTGTGCTACGACAGCTACGCTTGCTACGCTTGCTACGACTGCTATGTTTGCTACGACTGCTACGCTTGCTACGCTTTCTACGCTCTCTACGCTTGCTACGCTTTGCTTTGCTTTGCTACGCTTGCTACGCTTGCTACGACTGCTACGACTGCTACGCTTGCTACGACTGTTACACTTGATAGGCTTGCTACGACTGCTACGCTTTCTACGCTTGCTACGACTGCTACGCTTGCTACGCTTGCTACGCTTGCTACGCTTGCTACGCTTGCTACGCTTGCTACGCTTGCTACGCTTGCTACGCTTGCTACGCTTGCTACGCTTGCTACGCTTGCTACGCTTGCTACGCTTGCTACGCTGCTACGCTTGCTACGCTTGCTACGCTTGCTACGCTTGCTACGCTTGCTACGCTTGCTACGCTTGCTACGCTTGCTACGCTTGCTACGACTGCTACGCTTGCTACAACTGCTACGCTTGCTACGACTGTTACGCTTGATAGGCTTGCTACGACTGCTACGCTTTCTACGCTTGCTACGCTTGCTACGCTTGCTACGCTTGCTACGCTTGCTACGCTTGCTACGCTTGCTACGCTTGCTACGCTTGCTACGCTTGCTACGCTTGCTACGCTTGCTACGCTTGCTACGCTTGCTACGCTTGCTACGCTTGCTACGCTTGCTACGCTTGCTACGCTTGCTACGCTTGCTACGCTTGCTACGCTTGCTACGCTTGCTACGCTTGCTACGCTTGCTACGCTTGCTACGCTTGCTACGCTTGCTACGCTTGCCACGCTTGCTACGACGGCTACGCTTGCTACGCTTGCTACGCTTGCTACGCTTGCTACGCTTGCTACGCTTGCTACGCTTGCTACGCTTGCTACGCTTGCTACGCTTGCTACGCTTGCTACGCTTGCTACGCTTGCTACGCTTGCTACGCTTGCTACGCTTGCTACGACAGCTACGCTTGCTACGCTTGCTACGACTGCTACGAGTGCTACGCTTGCTACGCTTGCTACGCTTGCTACGCTTGCTACGCTTGCTACGCTTGCTACGCTTGCTACGCTTGCTACGCTTGCTACGCTTGCTACGCTTGCTACGCTTGCTACGCTTGCTACGCTTGCTACGCTTGCTACGCTTGCTACGCTTGCTACGCTTGCTACGCTTGCTACGCTTGCTACGCTTGCTACGCTTGCTACGCTTGCTACGCTTGCTACGCTTGCTACGCTTGCTACGCTTGCTACGCTTGCTACGCTTGCTACGCTTGCTACGACGGCTATGCTTGCTAGGCTTGCTATGCTTGCTACGACTGCTACGCTTGCTACGCCTGCTACGTCTGCTACGCTTGCTACGCTTGCTACGCTTGCCACGCTTGCTACGACGGCTATGCTTGCTAGGCTTGCTAGGCTTGCTACGACCGCTACGCTTGCTACGCTGGCTACGCTTGCTACGCTTGCTACGCTTGCTACGCTTGCTACGCTTGCTACGCTTGCTACGCTTGCTACGCTTGCTACGCTTGCTACGCTTGCTACGCTTGCTACGCTTGCTACGCTTGCTACGACTGCTACGCTTGCTACGCTTGCTACGCTTGCTACGCTTGCTACGCTTGCTACGCTTGCTACGCTTGCTACGCTTGCTACGCTTGCTACGCTTGCTACGCTTGCTACGCTTGCTACGACGGCTATGCTTGCTAGGCTTGCTATGCTTGCTACGACTGCTACGCTTGCTACGCCTGCTACGTCTGCTACGCTTGCTACGCTTGCTACGCTTGCCACGCTTGCTACGACGGCTATGCTTGCTAGGCTTGCTAGGCTTGCTACGACCGCTACGCTTGCTACGCTGGCTACGCTTGCTACGCTTGCTACGCTTGCTACGCTTGCTACGCTTGCTACGCTTGCTACGCTTGCTACGCTTGCTACGCTTGCTACGCTTGCTACGCTTGCTACGCTTGCTACGACTGCTACGCTAGCTAAGCTTGCTACGCTTGCTACGCTTGCTACGCTTGCTACGCTTGCTACGCTTGCTACGCTTGCTACGCTTGCTACGCTTGCTACGCTTGCTACGCTTGCTACGCTTGCTACGCTTGCTACGCTTGCTACGCTTGCTACGCTTGCTACGCTTGCTACGCTTGCTACGCTTGCTACGCTTGCTACGCTTGCTACGCTTGCTACGCTTGCTACGCTTGCTACGCTTGCTACGCTTGCTACGCTTGCTACGCTTGCTACGCTTGCTACGCTTGCTACGCTTGCTACGCTTGCTACGCTTGCTACGCTTGCTACGCTTGCTACGCTTGCTACGCTTGCTACGCTTGCTACGCTTGCTACGCTTGCTACGCTTGCTACGCTTGCTACGCTTGCTACGCTTGCTACGCTTGCTACGCTTGCTACGCTTGCTACGCTTGCTACGCTTGCTACGCTTGCTACGCTTGCTACGCTTGCTACGCTTGCTACGCTTGCTACGCTTGCTACGCTTGCTACGCTTGCTACGCTTGCTACGCTTGCTACGCTTGCTACGCTTGCTACGCTTGCTACGCTTGCTACGCTTGCTACGCTTGCTACGCTTGCTACGCTTGCTACGCTTGCTACGCTGCTACGCCTGCTACGCCTGCTACGCCTGCTACGCCTGCTACGCCTGCTACGCCTGCTACGCCTGCTACGCCTGCTACGCCTGCTACGCCTGCTACGCCTGCTACGCCTGCTACGCTGCTACGCCTGCTACGCCTGCTACGCCTGCTACGCCTGCTACGCCTGCTACGCCTGCTACGCCTGCTACGCCTGCTACGCCTGCTACGCCTGCTACGCCTGCTACGCCTGCTACGCCTGCTACGCCTGCTACGCCTGCTACGCCTGCTACGCCTGCTACGCCTGCTACGCCTGCTACGCCTGCTACGCCTGCTACGCCTGCTACGCCTGCTACGCCTGCTACGCCTGCTACGCCTGCTACGCCTGCTACGCCTGCTACGCCTGCTACGCCTGCTACGCCTGCTACGCCTGCTACGCCTGCTACGCCTGCTACGCCTGCTACGCCTGCTACGCCTGCTACGCCTGCTACGCCTGCTACGCCTGCTACGCCTGCTACGCCTGCTACGCCTGCTACGCCTGCTACGCCTGCTACGCCTGCTACGCCTGCTACGCCTGCTACGCCTGCTACGCCTGCTACGCCTGCTACGCCTGCTACGCCTGCTACGCCTGCTACGCCTGCTACGCTACGCCTGCTACGCCTGCTACGCCTGCTACGCCTGCTACGCCTGCTACGCCTGCTACGCCTGCTACGCCTGCTACGCCTGCTACGCCTGCTACGCCTGCTACGCCTGCTACGCCTGCTACGCCTGCTACGCCTGCTACGCCTGCTACGCCTGCTACGCCTGCTACGCCTGCTACGCCTGCTACGCCTGCTACGCCTGCTACGCCTGCTACGCCTGCTACGCCTGCTACGCCTGCTACGCCTGCTACGCCTGCTACGCCTGCTACGCCTGCTACGCCTGCTACGCCTGCTACGCCTGCTACGCCTGCTACGCCTGCTACGCCTGCTACGCCTGCTACGCCTGCTACGCCTGCTACGCCTGCTACGCTGCTACGCCTGCTACGCCTGCTACGCCTGCTACGCCTGCTACGCCTGCTACGCCTGCTACGCCTGCTACGCCTGCTACGCCTGCTACGCCTGCTACGCCTGCTACGCCTGCTACGCCTGCTACGCCTGCTACGCCTGCTACGCCTGCTACGCCTGCTACGCCTGCTACGCCTGCTACGCCTGCTACGCCTGCTACGCCTGCTACGCTTGCTACGCTTGCTACGCTTGCTACGCTTGCTACGCTTGCTACGACTGCTGCGCTTGCTACACTCGCTATGTTAGTGCTGTATAAACATTTACGCCTATCTTATAGTATTTAAAACCCGGCAATAAACAAGTGTGACAAAACAGTCTGACAAAATATTTGCAGCGAATATTCATTTTGAACGACCTCTTGTATAATTCAATTTTTCATAATTAGCACTTTTAATTATTAACAAGTGTTTGACCAATCACGAAAGACTTTTTGAGCACTGCGAGCTGACTCGTGGTCGGACACGCCCACTTAATCCAATCATGACGTCACATCCGTTTGGTGGGGCTTATTTCGCTACCTCCTTACGCTTTGAATTTCCACTGAATCTAACTATGACGTCACTTCTGGTAGGCGGGGCTTTTTTTGCTACTTCCTTACGCTTTAACTTTCAACTTCCGATTTTTTTTGGGCATAGTCAGACACGCCCAATTAATCTAATTATGACTTCACTTTTGGTGGGCAGAGCTTATTTCGCTACTTCCTTATGCTTTGACTTTCACCTTCCGATTTTTTGTGGGCTTTGTTAGACACGCCCACTGAATCTTATTAATACGTCACTTCCGGTAGTCAGGGTTTATTTTGCTACTTCCTTATGTTTTGACTTTCAACTTCCGATTTTTTGTGGGCGTGGTCAGACATGCCCACTGAATGTTATTATGACGTCAATTCCAGTAGGCGGGGCTTATTTCGCTACTTCCTTATGCTTTGACTTTCAACTTCCGATTTTTTGTGGCCATGATCAGACACGCCCACTGAATCTAATTATGACGTCACTTCCAGTAGTTGGGGCTTATTTCACTACTTTTTTACGCTTTTACGAGATTCATTCTAGGAAGGATTCACTTTTTCCTCGAGATTCATTTTGGATTCAGTTTTTTTCTCCACATTCAGATCCGGAATCACTTTTTTCTCGAGATTCATTCTCGGAAGGATTCACTTTTTTCTCGAGATTCATTTTTGGATTCACTTTTTTTCTCGAGATTCAAATTGGGACTCAATTTTTTCTCGAGATTCATTTTCAGTTTCACTTTTTTCTACACATTCAGATTCGGAATTACTTTTTTATCAAGATTCATTCTCGGAAGGATGAAATGAATCTCGAGAAAAATTTCCAATCCCAATTTGAATCTCGAGAAAAAAGTAAATCCAAAAATGAATCTTGAGAAAAAAGTGAATCCTTCGGAGAAGGAATCTTGATAAAAAAGTAATTCCGAATCTGAATGTGTAGAAAAAAGTGAAACTGAAAATGAATCTCGAGAAAAAATTGAATCCCAATCTGAATCTGGAGAAAAAAAGTGAATCCAAAAATGAATCTCGAGAAAAAAGTGAATCCTTCCAAGAATGAATCTGGATAAAAGCCAGTATAGTTCACTAACAGTTCAGTTCTGATTTTCGTACAGTTCACATACAGTTCAGTTCTGATTTTTGTATAGTTCACTCACAGTTCAGTTCTGATTTTCGTACAGTTCACACACAGATCAGTTGAACAATATTAGTCTTAGGAAGCCATTTTCAGCATCTTGAAACAGTTTTTGAACAGTTCAAAAAGTCGTCAAAATCGACCAAAATGGTAAGGGGTAAGCTTAGACAAAGGTAGCCCAAGACAAAATTCTTTGTTGTCAAAAAAATCCAGATGAGTTTAAAAAGATGTAAATGCTTAGAGCTTGATAAAATCACTAGGATTAGGATTTGATTTAAAAATTTGTGTGAAAATGTGTGTGAAAAAAGATTTAAAAATGGTGTAAAAATGTTGTAAAAAAGTGTGTAAAAAGAATGTAAAAAGTGTGTAAAAAGTGTGTAAAAAGGTGTGTAAAATTAATGTAAAAAAGTGTGTAAAAATGGTGTAAAAATGATGTAAAAATGGTTAGTAAAAATAGTGTTAAAAATGGTGTAAAGATGCTGTAAAATTGGTGTAAAAGTGGTGTAAAAATAATGTTAAATTGGTGTAAAAAAGTGTGGGAAATAATGCAAATGTGTGTAAAAAGTGTGTAGAAAATGGTGTAAATGTGTGTAAAAAGTGGGAAAAATGGTGTTAAAATGGTGTAAAAGTGGTGTAAAAATGGTGTGTAAAAATAGTGTTAAAAAATGGTGTAAAAATGGTGTAAAAAGGTGTAAAAAGTGTGTAAAAACGTGTGTAAAAAGGTGTGTAAAATTGGTGTAAAAAAGTGTGTAAAAGTGGTGTAAAAATTGTGTGAAAAAAAAGTGTTAAAAATGGTGTAAAGATGCTGTAAAAATGGTGTAAAAGTGGTGTAAAAATGGTGTTAAAATGTTGTAAAGAAGTGTGTAAAATGGTGCAAATGTGTGTAAAAAGTGTGTAAAAAATGGTGTAAATGTGTGTAAAAATAGTGTTAAAAAATGGTGTAAAAATGGTGTAAAAATGGTGTTAAAAATGGTGTAAAAATTGTGTAAAAATGGTGTAAAAATGGTGTAATAATGGTGTGTAAAAAAAGTGTTAAAAAATGGTGTAAAAATGGTGTGATAAAGGCGTAAAAAAGGTGTAAAAAAGTGTGTAAAAAGCGTGTAAAAAAGTGTGTAAAAAGTGTGTAAAAAGTGTGTAAAATTGGTGCAAAATTGGTGCAAAATTGGTGTAAAAAAGTGTGTAAAAAAGGTGTAAAAAAGGTGTAAAAAAGGTGTAAAAAAGGTGTAGGAAAGTGTATAAAAAGAGTGTAAAAAAGTGTGAAAAAAGTGTGTAAAAATGGTGTGAAAAGTGTGTAAAAATGTTGTGAAAAGTGTCTAAGAATGGTGTTAAAATAGTGTAAAAAGTTGGAAAAAAGTGTGTATAAAAGTGTGTATAAAAGTGTGTATAAAAGTGTGTAAAAAAGTGTGTAAAGAAGTGTTGGGGGAGAGGTGCAAAAAGTAGTTAAAAAGTTGTTAAAAAGTGGTTAAAGAGTTTTTAAAAGGTTGTAAAAAGTTGGAAAAAAGTTGGAAAAAAATTTAGAGAAAGATGTGGAAAATGTTAAGAAAATAGTTGTTAAAAAAAGTTGTAAAAGAGTTGGGAAAAAATTTGGAGAAAGATGTGGAAAATGATGGGAAAAAAATTGGAGAAATATGTGGAAAATGTTGGGAAAAAGGTAGGAAACTGTTGGAAAAAAGATGTGGAAAATGTTGGGAAAGAGATAGGGAGAAAGTTGGGAGAAAGTTGGGAGAAAGTAATGGAGGTATTTGGGAGAAGATTGAGGAGAGTTTAGGGAAATGATGGGAAAGAAGTTATGGAAAGGTTGGAAGAGAGTTGGAAGGAAGTATGTTGGGAGAATTTTGAGAGAAAATTTGGAGAAATGTGAGAAAGGGTTGGGAGATGTTGGGAGAAGTTGTTAGGAGAAAGAAGGGAAGAAAGGAGAGGAGAGGGAGAGGGAAAGAAAAAAAGGGAGGGGAGGGAAGAGGGAGGGAGGAGGAGGAAAAGGAGAAGGGAAAGAGGGAGGGAGAGGAGAGAAGGGGAAGAGGGAAGAAAGGAGGAGAAAAAAGAGAGAGGGGGAGAAGAAAAGGGAGAGAAAAAAGAGAGGAGAGAGAAAAGAGAGGGAAGGGAAAAGGAGAAAGGAGGAGAAGAAAGAGGGGGGGAAGAGAGAGAGAAAAAAGGGGGAAAGGGGGGAAAATTGGAGAGAGAGAGAGTAAGAGGAGAAAGAGAGAGGAAAGGAAAGGGGAGAGGAAAAGAAAAAAAAGGGGAAGAAAAGAGAAGAGAGAAAAGGAAAGGAGAGAAGAAAGAAGGAAGGGGAAGAAGAAAAAAGGGAAAAAAGGGGAGAAAAGGGGAAGGGAGGAAGAGAAGAAAAGGGAAAAAGGGGAAGGAGAGAAAAAAGGGGGAGAAAAAAGGGAGGAGAAAAAAAGGGAAAAAAAATGGGGGGGAGAGAGGAAGAAAAAAGGGGGAGAGAAAAAAAGGAGAGAGAAAAGGAGAAGAGAAAGAAAAGGGGGAGAGGAAAGAAGGGGAGGAAAAGAAAAGAAGAAGAAGAAGAAAAAAGAGGGGGAGAAAGGGGGAAGGAGGGGAGGAAAAGAGAAAGAGGAGAGAAAAGGAAGGGAAAGAGGGGGAGGGAGAGGAAGGGAGAGAGAGGGGGAGGGAAAAGAAAAGAAAAGGGAGGGGGAAGAGGAAAGAGGAGGGAAGGGGAGAAGAAAAAGAAGAGGGAGAGGGGAGAAGAAAAAGGAGAGGGGAGGGGAAGAAAGAGAAGAAAGAAAGGAGAAGGGAGAGGAAAAGAAAAGAGGAGGGAAGGAAGAAAAGGAAAGGAAGAGGAAGGGGAAGGGGAAAGAAGAGGGAAAGGGGAGAAGAAAAGAGGAGGGAGGGAGGGGGGAGGGAGGGAGGGAGAGAAGGAAAGAAAGGGGAAAAAAAGGAAAGGGGGAAAAAAAGGAAAGGGAGAAAAAAGGAAAAGGGAGAGAAGGAAAGAAAGGGGAAAAAAAGGAAAGGGGAAAAAAAGGAAAGGAAGAAGAAAAGGAAAGGGGAAAAAAAGGAAAGGGGAAGAGGAGAGAGAAGGGAAGAGGGGGAAAGGGAAGAGGGAAAGGAGGGGAGAGAGGAAAAAAAAAAAAAGGAGGGGAGAGAGGAAAAAAAAAGGGGGGAAAAAAGGGAAGAAAGGAGAGGAGGAAAAAGAGGAGAAGAAAGGGAGGAAAAAAGGGGAAAAAAAAGGGGAAAAAAAGGGGAAGAAAAAGGGAGAAAAAAAAGGGGAGAAAAAAAGAGGGAGAAAAAAGGGGGGAAGAAAGGGGGAGGGAAGAGGAGGAAAAGGAAAGGAAAAGAAAAAAAGGGGGAGAAGAAGGGGGAAAGAAGGAGAGGAAGAGGGGGAGGGAGGAAAAAAGAGAGGGGAGGAAAAAAAAAAAAGAGGGGAAAGAAAGAAAAAAGAAGGGAAGAAAAGAAAGAAAAAAGAAGGGGAGAGAAAAAAGGAAAGAAAGAAGGGGGGAAAAAAGAGGGGAAGAAAAAAAAGGGGAGAGAGAGAGGGGAAGAAAAGAGAGGGGAAGAGAAAAGGGGAGAAAAAAAGAAGGGGAGGAGGAGAAAGAAAGGGGGAGGAAAAAAGAGGGGAGAAAGAAAAGGGAAAGAGAAGGGAAAAAGGAGAGGGGAGGAGAAGGGGAGAAGGAGAGGGGAGGAAAAGGAAGGGGGAAAGAAGGGAGGAGGGAGAAAGAGGGAAAGGAAAGGAGAAGAGAGAGGGAAAAGAGAAAGGAAGGGAGAGGAAAGGAGAAGAGAGAGGGAAAAGAGAAAGGAAGGGAAAGGAAAGGAGAAGAGAGAGGGAAAAGAGAAAGGAAGGAGAAGGGAAGGAGAGGGGAAGGGAAGAGGAGGGAAGGGGAAAAAAGGAAGGAGAGGGGAGGGAGAGGGAAAGAAGAAAAAGAGGAAAGAAGAAGGGGAAGAGGGGAAAAAAGAGGAAAGGGAAAAAAGAGGGGGGGAGAGGGGGAGAAAGGGGGAAAGAGGGGAAGGAAAGAGAAAGAGGAGAGAAGGGGAAAGGAAAGAGGGAGAGGGGAAAGAGAGGAAAGGGAGAAGGGGAGAGGAAAGAGAAGAAAAGGGAGGGGAAAGAGGAAAGAGGAGGGAGAGGGGGAAGAAAAAGAAAAGAAAAGGGAGGGGAAAAAGGAGAGAAGGGAAAGAGGAAAAGGAAAGGAAGAGGAAGGGGAAGGGAAGAGAAGAGGGAAAGGGGAAGGGGGAAAAAAAGAAGGGGAAAAAAGGGAAGGGAAAAAACAAAAGGAGAGGGGAAGGAAAAGGAGGGAAGGGGAGAAGGGGAGGGGGAGGGAAAGGAGAGAAGAGGGAAGGAAGAAAAGAGAAGAGAAAGGGAAAGGAAGGAAAAGGAAAGGGGGAAAAGGGAAGGAGAAGGAAAGAAAAGAAAAGGGAAGGGAGAAAAGGAAAGGAAAGGGGAAGAGGAGAGAGAAGGGAAGAGGGGGAGGGGGAGGGGGAGAGGGAAAGGAGGGGAGAGAAAAGGAGAGGGTTAGGGTTAGGGTCAGGGTTAGGGTTAGGGTTAGGGTTTAGAGTTTTAGAGGCTTTTCGGGTGAAGGAAATATCACAAAACTAAGCAAGGAATGTTGAAACGGAGTTACACTAATCACGAAGTAAACTCACGAAATCATACTCCATGCTTGCGTGACCATTTCATTCTTGAACAATATATAGATAGATGGTATTATCATTACTGCAAGACCTATGGGTGCAAACTGACTTGTCCGTAGCACCGCACGTCAGCCTTGGCAGCGAGATAAAGACCAAATAATTAGCCGAACATATAATCAAAATTCGAACACAAAAGTAACTTATATATTACACTAAACTTAAAAGATTTTAAAAACCATCAACGGATTTGATGTATCTTAAGAAAGCTCGCTTCATCGATGTATATAGGCTCGCTTTTTGCTTAAATCTACCCATACTAAATTGAAACTTCAGTTGTATACCACGCTCGTTTCTAAACCAAACGATAGCTCCCCTGTTAATTATAGAATTATAAATCCAAACGCAACGCAACGCAAAACCAAACACGATTTATAAAGTCCCGAGAATGCGATACAGAAAGAATTATGCATGAAAGTCACGTTGTAGATTTGTAGTATTTTAAGAAACCTCGCTTCATATCAAACAGAAACGGAAATCGAAACACAACGCAACGCAAAACACAACGCAACGCAAAACCAAACGCAATGTATAATTAAATGCAATACAGAAAAAAATTAATGATTACCTGATCGGGACCGAATGCATGGAATAACGTTCAATCCGCTGGTGTCCGCACTGGGAAAAGGTAAAATCGCACGTTAGAAACATACAGTTGTGAAACCTTGCTACTGTTAATAACACCTAATCCCAAAAAATTTGTTTTAAACTTCATTAATCTTACAATTGGCACTAGGTATGCCAGGGCGATCCAGGATGGATCGATCATCATCAATGCCGAATGGAATACGTAAAAATTATCATCATTACCTGAGGGATTCGATAATGTTTGCCGGGTCCGTAGGCTGCCACTCGAGCCAATATTGTTTTAACTGAATAAGCTGAAAAACAAGGGCGATGTTTGTTAGTTCGGAAAGACCTTTGAAATTTGATATGCCGGCGTTACAGGACACCACAGAGACTGGTGTTTAAGAAGTTTCAACCCAGAATTGTGCATTTCTGTACCGCAATCAAAGAGAAACCTTTGAATATCTTAAAAACGTTCAATTTCTCTTCTGAATACGCATTCTGCAACCTTTTGACAGCTCATACACATATGACCGCTATGAAATGGCTATTTTGACGCTTAAAGTATACAAAATGTTATTAATTCAGACGATTCGTTTTTACCGTGTGCAAGCTTCAAATCTTTTGTGCAAGGCATATTTTCTTGAATATTCATAAATATTTTTTCTCACCAAGTTTGAAGTCTAAGTATTGAGAATTGCGGCTAAGTCTATACCAATTTCCGCGGTGTCGCGTTACACAGGCATAACAATGACACTCTTGATACCTGAAGGATGGATGACAGACTGAAGGTCTCACGGTTTTGGGAAGAAAATTTTTCTATTATTCAACAAACTAAAGATGTTCAGTGTCCAACACCGAGGAGGTTTATTCCGACTTTATTCTACAAACAGGGCTAACACATATTGATTTGGACAATTTTAAGGCAAGATGAAGAATGAATTTACGTTTCTCCTTTTATTTGCCAATTAATTAATCACCGATTATTTCCATGATATTATAGGTTATAACGTGCAGTCTTGGCAGAGGAATACGCTTAAATAAGAAACGTCGGAAAAACCAGAAACGATTCTACAATGTCGCTCCAAAGCGCAAAAAACTACGACCAGAAGAACATGACTTTGATTCCAATGAACCGCAAGAGGGAGAAAGCGTTACTAGACATGAGAACGAATTGTTAGACAATTATCTAGAACATCAAGGGTCGATGCAAATTAACGCAATGACAGTTTCAGCCTTGCGAGAGAAACAAAATGCACCATCGAGCAGAAAACAAATGTTTGAGATTCTAAGGTGTAAAGGCCTTTATAAGAAGTTTCCTATGAGTAAGTTTGAAAAGTTCATCTCATGGCTCAAATCGCCATCTGGCGGCCAACTCGCATGCACAGATGAAATAGCAAGTGAAGTTAGCAGGTTGGTATTTAATAGATTTAGATATTGTCTGCAAGAAACAACGAGAATATAAAATTGAGACTGACATTTTGTTTTCTTGAAATAGATTCCTATATTTTTCTTTTCCAACCAAGCTGAAATGGAATAGGCTGTTGGATGCCAAAGCACTCAACAATTATCTTATTACTACAAAAGATGCTGGTTTAGGCCCTGATGGGCTTAAATCAAAGATTGAAAGAATTACAATAGCCCTGAAATTCCTCGGCCATAAAAAACCAAAGATTCACACGAAATGCAAAAGAGCTATTGCAGAATATTCTGAATGGCTTAAGCCACTTGCAAAACAAAAAAAGGTTCTACGAATGCAAAATTCCTGGAGGAATGAGTTGTGTGGGTTTAACCTAACCATGGAAGATATAGACACAGCTGTCTCTGAACATACAATTGCTCGATTCATTGCAATCATGAAACGAGCAATGTCAAAAAAGAAACTTACCCAAGAGGAGTACAGGCTTATTGTTGATACACTTATCACAATAACTATAACACAGGAAAGTGCAATAAGACCAGGGGCATTTCAATTTATGACTTTGCAAGAAATAGACAATCCTGTAGTATACATATCACCTACTGATGGTACAGTATACAATATAGTTTTTTGTCTTAAATCATAAAACATTCGCAACGCATGGGCCACTTCCTGTGCCATTTACTGAAACAGTATGGATACAGCTACATAACTATTTGAAATATGTAAGACCCCAGGCGAAACCTAAATCACCCTACAAGCAAAATGTGTTCTTGAATGCATCCGGACGAATGTTAGCCAAGCCAGGAAAATCTGTCACAAAAGTTACGAAGAACCATGACAAGCACATTACAGCAACAAAGATTCGACATGCGGTTGCAACAGCTGGGAATGAACAGCTAACTGATACGGAAAGACGGGCAATAGCAAAAGGTATTGGTCATTCCATGGAAGTGCACAATAAAGTTTACACAGATTTAACAATTACCAATGTCTGTGCAAGCATCGAAGCGCAGCGAAAACTGCACAAGAGGGAAAAGATTAACACACTGTGAAAATATGCATGACTTATTGTTGCCCATTTGGTTAAAAAATAATCATAGTTTATATAAACAATACTTACAGAAGACATTTTGGTGTATATACTCCAATCCTCTCCCTTAGCACACCCAAAGGAAATGCTAAAAGGAAATACAGAATGCATAAGTTTCATATTTTGTTAGTTGATAATCATTGATATAACAATGGATAATTCTTATTAATATGTTAATATACTCTATTAATAGTTTTTCTATAAGCACTGTTCTTACATAAATTCCATGTAAACTCTTAAAAATGGTTGGAATGGTAATAATTAGAAATTGGAATTTTTTTTAAATAGGAATTATTAATATCATTGTTATTGTTATATTTCAAACTGATCTCTATAGCGATGCCCTAGGATGTAGCACTTTATATTCGCTGACTAAGCTTTTAAGCAATTCAATTACCAGGCTGAGCTACATGTAATTTTTAGATTTAAATAAATCCCATGAACCCAATAGTCGTAAGAAATAGAAGAAAAACAAAAAACGGGTGAATTAGTGATTTAAAACTGTAGCACTTTAAATTCGCTGACTAAGCGTTTAAGCATCAATTACCAGGCCTCTTGACCGTGGGTTTTTGTCGTTGGACAAAAACCCACGGTCAGAAAGCCTGGTAAGGAATTCTCACTGATCGTACCGATCTTTGCAAGATCCGGCGATAATTCTTTGAAATACATGTAATTTTTTTATTTCAATGAATCCCATCGACCCAAATTACTCGCACGAAGACGTACAGTCGGAAAAAAATGGAAAAAGAACACAAAAACCCGCAAAAATTAGCGCAGGTTAAAACTGATCTCTATATTAACGTTGTAAGCTGTAGCACTATTATAATCCTTATAATTTGTGTCATAATACAATGAAACTTCTTAGATTAGACCGATTCACCGATCTATTTGGATTTTTGGAATCAGTAACACCATTATAATATATGAATTGGTACAATATTTTATGTATTATTACTACATCTCAAACTTCAAACTTAATGAACCAACTTCTAATTACTATTAGGTCATCTAGCTTTATTGAATATGTAGTTACAAATACACCTGAGAAAATTTCACATTATGGTGTTGTACACATTGGAATCAGTGGTCACGGTTTAGTTTACGCAATCAGAAGAACTGGAGCTTTTCATAAAGTTAATGATTTTGTTTAAATTAGAAATACGAAAAACTTTTATTAGAATAATTTTATGAATGAACTTCTTAATCAGAATATGTCTGCTTTTTTGGTGAAAACAAACAAACAACATTAATTAAGGGTCTCATAAATACAAGAGACAAATTAAAAAGAAAACCAACTATCACAAAGCTATTTTATAGCTGTATGAGCAGTTTGCTTTACTTGTGTTAAAAACATGACAAAGCTGAATGATGTGAGATTTGTTTAAAGCAATACGGCCCTGAAATCTTGCATTCCCTATATGCTATTTATTCCAAGTTAATAAAATGCGTCTCATCCATCCAAAATGCATTTGGGAATGCTTTATACACTAGGCACCAAATAGCCAAATGAAGTTTGTATTCTACCGACGTTGAACCAAAATATTTCAAACACAACTATATATCAAGTATGTTTAATTAAATACCCTTCTCCATGTGTCCATCGAAATGTTTTACATTTTCAGACAGACAAATGATATTCAAGTTCACTAAAATCACTGTACTAACAAAATGTAAAGAAATTAAAAGAAAATACTTACAGCGAATTGCTCTTCTTGAAGTAATGAAAAGCAAAAATGCGACTTTTCAGTATATTACTACGATCTCACACACGATAAATAAACAAACATTTTATACGCGGGATAATTGTGTATCGCATGGGTAATAACTAATTGTATCCCACTGTATCCCTTAGAAGCATTATTTTTCAATGATCTATTTATAAATATGATTGTTCGTATTATTATAAAAACGAAACGAACTAGTCTGGGAAATACTGTTATGAGTTCATTTTTTAAAAAGATTGGAAATACCGAAGAAATCAACTGAAAAAATCAACCAAATACACATCATTGGCGTAAATTGTACTTAAACACAACAAATCCACAGATAGCGAAGCAACGCCCATTTTCGAAAAGGCCTTTTTTCTCAAGAAGATGTCATTTGGAACAGAACATTCACACGTATTTATCTCTAGACTTTGCTTTTCTCTTTCCACGTGCAGACATCCTTTTTAAATATTCTTGCGTTTAATATCACTAAGATATTCCATGTGTTTTCATCTGTAACGACTGTAAGTGTCCCTGGTTCCACGTTGCCAAAATGTCGAACTTACGTTTTCAATTCACAACCATTTTTGTTTTCAATATTGTGTCTCAATGTACGTTAATTCACTGAAATTTTAAATAAGCGCGTATCCCAAAATGTATAAGATTACAAAGTGAGGAATGTTTCAGTTTTACCGGTGAAAAAGGCTTCTTTCGCGGTTAGTTTCACGTGTATAAGACGTTAGAATATTACGGTAGAATTTCGCTAACACTACCAAATTTACGAACATTTGATTGAAATTTTGTACAAATTTGGCGCACGAAATAAATTCTTTACAATCTGAGGAGAGTGACACATATCTGCGCCATTGAGTTTA